AATTTCACAGTATTGTGGAATAATGATGCTCATTTAAAGTCACAAGTTCATTCTAACTTTCCTGGAGCAAATTGTCTATCACAGTCTATATCATATAACGGTGTTCACATGTTATACACCATACATCTGATCAGCAGCAGGGGGATATTTAGTAGTGGTTTGACCAGATAATCATCGTCTTTTGCCTAATTGCTTAGAAGATCTTACTACTCACACCTATTATGCTGAAATGGCCAAAGGGTTGACTTTTTATCTACACACTGCTGAGAGTGACCAGTTAGCTATTGGGTAATCTTTCTGCTTCTTTTGATTATGTGTGTTTCCTATGAATATGTGCATAGACTTTATTAAAAACTTTAGATCATGTGTTTTCTACAGTACATGGAAATTGTAGTTATAAACTCCTTTCAACATAGTCTGTCAGTACATTTAAACTTGTCACATAAATTTAGAAACTATTCATTTGTGTTTCTTTCCTTTTTTTTCCAGGTATTTTGCACTGTCTTGGTTTGCTTCTGCATAGCTTGTTTTCTACCACTTTAGCTGTGCCTTCAGTCTTGTTTTTTGCTGGTTATTTTAAAGATAATGTCTTTCCAACTTTTCTCAAACCACAGTCCTCCAGAACTCATTCTCCCAAGTAACTAAGATTACAGTCATACACTACCAGCAATCGGCTAATTCTTTTACATTTAATAACCCTAAGCAAATCCAGAAAGCACTTATTACAAGGTAGGCCTTTTGTTGGATTCATGAGTTAGTTATTTGTGTGGCAGATAGCAGTCCAAACTAAATTACTGATGCGTATTTATAAATTTTGTATATCAACTATTGAAACAGACAACAAAATAATATGTCTTAAAAGTCAAAACACTTGACAGGCGCTGGTGGCTCATGCCTGTAATCCTAGCTACTCAGGAAGCTGAGATCTAGGATCACGTTTCAAAGCCAGCCCAGGCAGGAAAGTCCATGAAACTCTTATCTCCAATAAACCACCAGAAAACCAAAAGTGGTGCTGTGGCTTAAGTGGTAGAGTGCTTGCCTTGAGCTGAAGAGCTGAGGGACAGCGCCCAGGCCCAGAGTTCAAGCCCGACAACCGACACAAAAAAGGGGGAGGAAGGTAAAACACTTGCTTTTAGAATTATTGCCATTGATAGACTTAATTCAAAATTCTACTTAAAATTGTTTGTATAGAACTTGAGCCTCTACTCCCCTTACTCCCCCCACTTCCCCAGCCACTGGCTGCAGTTTGTGTGTATTACCTGAAAAGTGTCAGTCTCATTCACAGGATGGTGTCAAAGCAAAAATGAAACTGAGATGGCACTGGTGGCTCACACTAGTAATCCAAGTTACTCAGGGAGCTGAGTTTTGGAGGACTATAATTCAAGGTCAGCCCAGGCAGAAAAGGTCACTAGGCCCCATTGGAGGTATGGCTCAAGTGTAGCCAGCTTAGCAAGTTAAGGCCCTGAGTTCAAGCCCCAGTACTGGAGAAGGGAGGGAGGGAGGGGAGAGAGAGAGAGAGAGAGAGAGAGAGAGAGAGAGAGAGAAAGAGACAGCTCTACATTGCAGAGAAGACAAAGCTAATGACATGAAAATATTGTCTTATCAAGTTACTGTCTATTAAAATTATCTCTTAACAAGAAAATATATTTTTATGATTCAAATAAACAATCATTTTCTATATACGTACTTTGGATTACAAGGTAATGGTTGTGAATTTTTAAAACCACAGTTCCCAAATCTTGCATGTGGAGAATTAACTTCTTTAAAACAGTCATAGGGAGCCCCTTGAGCACCTTAAAAATGCAAACATGTGCTTGAGTTATCACCTTTCATCGAAATTAAACATCAACAAACTAATGAAACTTTTATTTCTAAATATTCATGCTTCTTTTGATTACACTTCAGTTTCCATGTGCATTACATATAACAAAAGGCAGTAATTACATCTAACACAAAACAATTGCAGAAAATTATATAGCAATTTGCTGTCCTTACCTGTGGAAGCAACTACTTCCTAGTCCAATGAGTGTTGAGCTTGCTTTGAACCTGCTCTCTTAATGAGAAATTACACATTGGTAGAAATATCTGCAGCCAGTGCATAATTTCCCATAGTGGCATTGTTCGTTTGTTGTTTTTTTTTTTTTCCTCTGCTGCAGAATCCGCAGTATTTTAACGGAACCTCATGGGATGTTGAATAGCTAGATGAGCTGTGTAAATCTTGGGAGATTTAGGAGTTATTCCTATTTCATTAGATGCTAGGATGGAAATCTAGAAGTGGAATCTAGGATGGAAATCTTAAGGAAACATTTGGGGAAATGATCATGTCAATCTTACAGACAACAGTCCTGATGGATAGGTTTTCCTAGGCAAAGAGGTCAGACAGCAGAATCTGTCCTGGTTACTGTAGGCTACCCTAGTCAAGGAAAAGATAAGCTAAATTCAGAAGAGAATCCACTATTTCAAAGCAGGAAACAAAGGAAACACAGTAAGCAATCCTAGCTACTCCAGAGGCAAAGATTGGAAATCATACAGTTCAAGACCAACTTAGGCAAAAAGTTCCACAGACCTCAAGTCAATCAATAAAGTGCTGGGCATAGTGGTACCTGTCTGCCACCACAGCTATTTGATGTGGAAAAATTCTAATCTAGGTCAGAAAAGATTAAAGAGAGAGTAAAAGAGAAGGAGAGGGATGGAGGGAAGAGAAAGAAAGAAAGGGAGAGAGAGAGAAAGAGAGAGAGATTTAAAAATAAGGAAAGCTACTCAGGAGGCTGACATCTGAGAATCATGATTTGAAGTCAGAACAGACAGTAAAGTCCATGAGACTCTTATCTCAAATTAACCACTTCCAGAAGTAGAGCTGTGACTCAAATGGTAGCACATTAGTCTTGAACAAAAAGCCCAGGACAATGCCTAAGTCCTGAGTTCAAACCTCCATACTGGCACAAAAAAAGGAAGAAGAAAGCAAGAAGGGTCAGGAAATGACTCAGAAGTAGTATGCCTGCCCAGCAAATGCAAAGCCTTCGGTTCAAATCCCAGTACCATAAAAAATCTCTACAGATTTGATGGGCAAACGCATCTTAGGGGAAAAGTGCTCATCTTACTCTCAGTCCAACCACTATAGATGGGACAGGTGGAAGGCTGGCATCTCTGGAAGTGATGGGGAGAAGGCTGGAGAAATGAAACTGAGAAGACTGTTCAAAAAGTAGTCACGGACAACACATTTATGGCTGTGCAGTATAAACAGTGGCATATGATTGGGCTCAAACAGCCAAACAACTGTATATGTGCTGCCCTAAGAAGGATGGGCCTTTGGAACAGATGTCTTCTTGAAGTTGAGGCAAGTTCTGAAGGAGCTCATGGCTAGAGACATCTGACCACACAGCTGGCACTACAACTTGTCCAAAACATTGCTTTTATTTTACATGTTCATTATTTAACTGTACATCGCACAACCAGTGGTTTTATATTTCCTTTATGCTTTCATCTCTTGATCATAGACACAAGTTTCAAATAATTCAAAAGATGACATGAATCACAAAATATATATAGCATTTGGTACAAACTAGACTCCTGAGGACATCGTTGGTTATTTAACTGGAATTGGGTGTTTTTGATCTTTATTCCTTCTGGAAAAAATGCAATTTTTCTTTGAATATAGTTAACTGTATAATTTTGCTGTATTCAAATTATTTTGATTTCTCTAATCTGGAGTATACTGAGAAAGCAGGAATCATAGTTGCATTATTCCAAAAATACAAATATAAACCATGTGACCTATGAGTACAGTTATCCTACCAGTTGTTCATCAGTGAAGAAATCTGACTACTGTGATGAAATTCATTCTGTGTTTTGAAAGTTTCACACTATTATAATTAGATTTTTGAATGTTAGGAGTAAGAGGGGTAATTAAGTAAAATTATGGACTGAATGGATTCACTTTTAAAATGGTTTAGATGTATTGCGATCTACAAACAACAAATTTTCTCCCCAGGTAGTTAAATACCCAAACCAAAACTTACACCATGAGAAAAGGAACATACAGCAAACACGACCTGTGAAAAATCTCAAGTATACCTATAAGCACCTACCTATACCTTATATAATTCAAGTCTGACCTTTAATAAGGTTCCAACCAGATTCATCAACTTCTAGTGTTGTACAATGCTTAATATCAACAACACAGGGATTCAAATTTAAGGTAAAGGAAACTGAAAAGAAAGAGCAATACCTTTACCAAATAATGAGGCACACTGGTAGTCAGTGGTTTGGCATTGTCCATTATAACAATATGCAGACCCCATCCTGCACAAATGTCCATTCAATGCATACGTGTCAGGAACACAGTGACTAGAAGTTCCATTGCAATACTCCGTGAAGTCACACTCCTGGTCAAGGCTCTTTCTACAGGGAGTGCCTGCTACTGAGAACTAGAAGAAAAAGAAAAGGAAAACCATGTTCTGTGAGTCTTCTTACTGAAGAGACTCATCCAATAAAAATAATCTGGCCATTTACACTGAAGGGAATAGCATAGCTCCCAAGACTGAAAACTCACCTAAGGAGAAATCAGATATAGTATCAATTGTAAAGCCCAAAGAGTGCCTGTCTTAAAGTAATAAGCCCTTCTGATAGCAGATCTGCACCTTCCTACCTGCTCTTTGCTCTACAATGTTAGAACTGTAACTTACCCAGCATTTGGAGGGAGACCAAACAGATTGCCCGAAACATTTTTGTTCTTTGAAAGTGAAGGATCTCTGTGTTCAGAGAGACCCGGGAAGCAGTCTACCTGGTTGCAGCCCCTGGCTTTGACTCTTGCTGGTTTCTTTATGTGAGGGAGTCACACAACACACATGTTCACTTTTGTAATGATAAGCACACTTGTAATGATAAGCACATTCTCATAGAGTCCTTAGTAGTATTAAATTGATTTAATGAAAAACTGCTTAGAATAATATTTGGTAATAATGTATGTTATACTTATTATGAACACCACGAATACATTATCTGAGAGCATAATTGTCTCTTTCTGCATAGTTCCTATAAAGAGAATTACTATATAAATGCCTGTCTGACTACAAATGTGTAGACTGAAATATGGTAGATTAAGGGGAGAGCCCAAAGAGTATAATTCCTTAGAAAGACTAACTCACAGTCCAACAAAATAAACACCAGGAAATGGGTCCTTAAAAGGGGAGTGGATATCTGCAAAGGAACATAAATCTGAAAATGGAATAGATGGTACTAATTATAAAATTATTGTTTTCTTATTTCACTTGATATAAAAGACCTGCTCACAATTCAGGAAGTATCATACTATAAGTCAGCGCTCCCTGATTAATCAAAGATTGGCAAACTCCTGGGGAAAACAATAAAATTATTTTCAAAGATATAAGGAGCAAACCAATAGAGAATATAAAAGTAAGTCATATTTTGCATAGTTGCAGAGTTTTTATTTAATTTGCAAAGCAATTTTAAGTCTTATAGTAGGAGTTGGGAATTCAAAGTAGTATATTTGTTTTGGAAAACAGTTTTTCAATTTCCCATGAATTTCCATATTCACTTACTCTGTGAACTGGCAGACTCATTCTGAAGGATTGAACTAAGAAAAATGAAACAGTATGCTCATGCATAATTTGCCCATGTGTATTATTATTATTATTTTTTTCTTTATTTTATTTGTCTGTTGTGGGGCTTGAACTTTGGGCCTGTGAGCTGTCCCGGAGCTCTTCAGCTCAAGGCTAGCACTCTACCACTTTGAGCCCCAGCACCACTTCCAGTTTTCTGATAGTTAATTGGAAATAAGAGTCTCACGGACTTCCCTGCCCAAGCTGGCTTTGAACCATGAGCCTCCCATCTCAGCCTCCTGAGTAGCTAGGATTACAGGCATGAGCCACCGACAGCCGGCTACCAACATATATTATTTATAGTAGGAACATTTTATTCACCCCAAATCAAAAGTGGTCCAGATGTTGCTCTACAAGGGAGTGAGCTGACAGACTGTGGTATATTATTGTAGTACTCCCAGGATGGCCCAGCAACTCAAAGGGTAAAACACTATAGCCTAAACATTTAAATGTGTTAGATGTCTAATCCACATGTTTACAAATATTATTGGGATTTATTGCATATTTTTGTAAAACTGAATTAATTATAGAGGCCCAAACAGACTGTCAGGTGCAAGAGTAAGCATGGAGGCTGCCTGACTACAGGCGGAGGGGACCTAGAGGAATCCCCTGCCTACACTGGGATGCTGGTTTTTTATGCGTAGGAAGTGGATGCTTCGCCTCTACTACTTGAGCCATTCTGCCAGTCCCCTTTTGCCTCAGTTAATTTCAAGATAGAATCTCACTGTTTATGTCCAGGGCAGCCTCGGCTGTAATCCTCCTATCTGTGCTTCCCTATGTCCCTAGGATGCCATTGTGACCAGATATTGTGCTTCCCCCATGGCTGCGGATAACAGGCTCATGCCATTATGACAACTGATTGAGATGGGGTCTTGTAATTTTTATGCTTAGCCTGTCTTGTTCTATGATCTCTGAATCTCAGCCTCGAAGGGAGCTAGGATTATAGTATTGAGCCATCACAATTTCTTATCTAAGAATATTTTATTGGAGATAATGTTATATTGGTACATATATTTTTTATCCACATTTTCTAACTTTTGAACAATAGACAATAATTTAGGTAACTGTTCATTAGCTGTAACTATCATTTGCTTCCAGTGTGTATATGTCTGTGTGTGAGAGAGATCTGCCTTTTACTTGACATGTGAGAGATCTTTACATAATCTCATTCATGTTACAACTAGTCACTTCATTTTTAACTACATGATTTTATGAATGTCAGAAGTGTTGATAATTTCGAAAGTGGTAAGCTTGGTGGTTTCAACATCACCGCCAATCTAAAATGCCCTTCTAATTTCTGAGTCATTTTCTTAATACTCTTGTTTTATGCATGGATAACCATTTTCAGTTCCACATTAACTCTGCGAATGTAACCTTCCACTAGAATTCAGTTTCCCTTTCACCACTGCCGGTCACTCACCTCACACTTCGAGGTACAGCACGCTCCAGACCCACACTTTGCTGAGCTTTTCAGTTTACATGTTTGATAATCACAGCACTTTTTAAATTGACATTCCTAAAATTTTAAAAGAAATATTACCCAGTCCTGTTTAAGAACTCTTGTTTCTTAATCTCAACATCAATTTAATACATTACACTCGAGTTATATATATATATATATATGTATATATATATATACATATATACATATATATATATGTATATATATATACATATATATGTATATAATTACATAAAAGGAACATTTATATTTCTAGAATATCCAAATACATAACGAACTAAAGGTAAAGATCTAGGATCTAAATTAGTAGTATATAATAGCATTTCAGTTTGCTTGTTTGTTTGATTGCAGGGCATTAGGGGTAGAACCCGGGGCCTTGCACATGCCGGACACTCTATCACTGAGCCAGTTCCCCAGGGATCAGTAACATTTGTTAATTAACTCATAAATTCAGTGTGGAATTGAACCTGTGGGAGGGAGAAAGGTGAGTTTCTAAGTGAAACATAAACATCACTCAATTGTCTTATCAATGATTTGTTTGCTAACATTCCTCTTAGTTTAAAAAGTATAATTAGTTTAAATTCATTTTTAAAGATGGATTAAAGATTATTACTGTGCTTTAAAATATTCCTTGGGAGAGTTCCTGGAAGATGGTGGAGGAGAAGCTGGATTCTGAACAAGCTCTCGCATAGAAAGCAGTTTTAGAGTTCCAGTAAACAGTCCTAAGCCAGAGAATCACACCAAGTGTGCCATCACAGGACAGAGAGTTAGGCAACAGAGGGGAAGCCAAGGCAAGGAGACACATCTGAGTGCTTGCCAGCAGCCATGGCGGCGGCGGCAGGCTCGCCGCAGCGGCAGCAGCCATACCTGAGTCACAGAGAGCCCGGGACAAAGGAGTCAGACGGAGCAGGCGAGTGGATTCTACTCAACACCAGCAAAAACCGACAAGGAGTGGATATCATCATCCTGTAGTTCACAGACAAGAGATGACCCAGGAACCAAGACTGGGCATGAGTAGAAGCCCGACATCCTCACTCCTTCTCAGGGAGCAGAGGAGGGAAGG